TTGGGGGTCGGGAGGCGGCATGAGCGCGCACGATGCTGCGCGGCGGCGCGTGCGCGTGGTTGGGCGCGCCGTGCTCGCGCAAGAACGGCGCCGTCTGCTCGTGCCGCGTTCACACCGCGCTACTACAGGTAATACGTACGTCTTATAATATAAGAATGAAATATACTGATAACGGAAAAAATTCATACGTTAATGTGTCTACCATTGATACAGCGAACTTTAAAAAGCGCGGATAGTGTTATGTGATTTTCTGTCTACATCTATTTGAAAAAGGATCTAAGTATACAACATTGCAATTAGTGAATGTTAGTGGCAGTTTCATCCAACTAGAAGTAAATGAGTGGCTCCAATTAATGTCATCGTATAGTGTATTAATTACTTTATATATGACATATGAGATCGCAAACTATATCAGAACTGATTTAAATCACATTTCGATTGATGATAATCTCAATGTTAATGAAAATTTAATGATATAATAAGCTAATTAGCTGGTGTTTGGATACTGGGCCTAATTTAATAGTTTCGGAAGTATTCTTTTCTTCTATATTAAAAGGCTTTAAATCATAGGAAATACGATTAATAACGTATTACAGTTACGTTATCGTAACACGTTTTTAACAGTGGTAGAGCCCGCTTTAACATGTTCGCACGAATCGGCCCGGCTCGCCCGGTGAAATACCACGACCACACGGAAGACAGGCGTGAAGTGGGAGCAATTCCTCGTTTCGTCTGATGAGTTTGCGTCCCGGAGGCCAAAATTAGTCCTCTTTCCCTGCCCACCCTTTTTCTTATAAGGAAAGGATGGGTAGTGGAAGTGGACTTTCCGGATGAGAGGATGCATGGAAAGGGAAAATATTTTCTTTCTGTGCATCTTCTCCTCCGTCGATTAAAGGTAGGCAACGCATATGCAATTGCATATGTCTATGGGTAACGGTCGCTTCGCTATTTCAGCGATTTCAGGTGACCGCTCGCTCGTTTGCCACCTTATGATAAAAAAAAAAATTATAAAGCTCTAAAAGTTCTGAAACAACATGGAATAAATAAAACTCTTGGCAATAAAACAGCCGATGTTTAATATCTATAAGTTTATTGAGCTTGTATTAGAATTAGAGTAGCGCAGTTATCACAGACATTTCCATTCAACACTCCAATTAGCTTTTGTATCAGACATTTTGCAATCGTATAGCACGATTCCAAATCGATAATCTAAATCAGATGACCCAAATTAGAGTTGATTGTTTAGTCGACGTATTTCGATACGTGAAAATTTTGTTTTTAAAAGTTTAAAATCTTTTTCAATTGTAATATTAATTAAATGGATGGAATAGTATATGAAAGACACAATAACTTTGATCGGAAGCCTATTTCAAGATGACAGTTTGAACTATAGGTTTAACCGCATTACTGATGCTAGGCTGTGTTTATTTTTCTGGATGTTTTAATCTGCGCGGGTCGCAGTCAGCAATTACTGGGCCATTGTTGTCGGCGGGTAATGAGGGTCCTGCAGGATCGCGCTCGTTAATACCCTCCTTCCACCCTCAGGGAGGGGGTACAGCAAGCTTGTAATAATCAAACATTAATCATTATAATATTCCTGTTAGTTTTATTGATTAACTAACTATCATACGCGGAATTAAAGTTAATAAGTAGCTTGTATGTTCTTCCAGACCATGTTGTACATCTATATCAAATTTCATCATCTGTTTATGTGTACATCAAATATCCATCCATCTAAACATTCGCATTTTTAACATTAATATTATCGTGTATTTTTTTTTTTATTTCCAACATTCTAATAAATATATGTACATATGTTAGTTAGCTATGAAATAAATCTTGTTTGAGCTTAGTTTATTTCTGAAATGAGTTATGAAAGACCTTACTTCATAGGATCATTTCTATAGTAAGTTCTTCACGAGAAATGAGTTATGATAAATGTATTGCAATGTATGCGGTTGTATCCAAGTTGAGTATTGTATGTAAAATGATATGTAAATGTATTTAGAGACAGGTACGTGTAGGACGCTTCCAGACGCGCGACGTCTTACGAACTCAGAGAAGCGCATGATGTGCGCCGGTACGCATGTAACAAATCTTAAGACATAATCACATAGCTACATACAACAAATGTATATTGAAATGACTAAAAATGTTTATAGCTAATCATATATTAGGTCAATTAATTACAGACCTAGACATCATACATTCAGTGTTGTCCTGTTGCGTCCTTTTGGGCAATCCGAGACCTTCTTCGATCGCCCACCAAAGGGCTTTTCGTGTGACAAGTCCCACATAACCCTGTTTACCCCCAGAAGATAGGGTATCTTCCTCCTTCCCCGTTAAAAAGGCCTTCCACAGTAAGGACCCACCGCATTTAGCGACTTCCTGTCTTTCTTTAAAAGGTTTCAAATTCTCTGAAACATGTTTAGGATCTCTGAAATGAAAGATCTTACATATTTAAGTCATCGCATCGATTGATGTTCAATTTCTAGTTTAAAAATAAACCAAAGTTGCAGCTGAATATACAGATATTTGGCAGATATGAATTGAAAGCACACAATCGTACAGCGAGCAAAACAAACAAAGAAGGAATTATCGCGGATATGAAATTGGGGCAGCCGTGGACCCAATCAATTTCCCGAAGCCGAGGAAAAATATTAACTAGATACGAGGTTCCCGTTGACTCGGTCATGAGGCTTAATTAACTGAAGATATAGCAGTTCAAAGGAGAAAGATAAAAGAGTTTTCAAAGGAATGATATTAGAGCAGTAATTTTACCCTAATTAAAATAGATTATAGGTATGAAATTTGTTTGTTCAATAAATAAATAAGTTAATTTAAAAAAGACTTTTGTTAAAGTTAAAGCTTTTAATTATCTATCGTCGATTGAAAGACGAGGCTGTGTAAAGTAAACAATGTGATAGATTTTCTTTTGATTGAATAAACATAATCGCGTCAAGTAATTGAATGAAAACATGATAAGATAGCGAGCGGCTGAAGATGAAACGAGATGGCGCTGGTGGAGGGGGGGGGGAGTGGAAACTTATTATGTTCGATTACTTTGCACGTTTCGAAGAATAATGTTTGCGGTGACACTTACGAAATTGATATCTAAAAAAGATTAGGTTATACCAAAATATATACAAAAATAATATATTTTCCAGAAAAAAAAATTACTTAGAGAAATTGCCGTCGACCTTCACATGATAATTTCTTGTATTGAATGGCATTGCGATTATTTTAATAAAGTAGAACAATTCTCGAATGTACTCAACCTATTTACGTAATAGACATAAACAATAAACAATATAACCGAGCCTTTAGCCACGACACTACAGCAGTAGACAGGACAAAATATCCGTAAACAATGCCGCTCGTAAGTCTGTCAATACAATGTTATGCCCCGCGGGGCGCCATCTTGCGGCGACAATACACGTAATGGAAACCTATTGCCCGTTTGCTCTTGTAGCTCTACTTTTATTTCAGCATTTTATAAGCAGTACTAGATATTGTAATTTAATAAACAGACTAAGTTACTGAAGCTTAAATAAATGTGTAATCAAACAATGATATTGACCAAGACAACACAATATTTCGATAGGTCAATTTACAGTTTAATTAATTTAGTTAATTCATTACTGAACGTTAATTAAACAATTCTTGTTATTATGTTTATGATTGTTTAAATAAAACACTAAATGGACTTCTTAACTCACATCTCATCTTCAAGTAGAGCAGTCGTATCGTCATCGGAATTTGTTCCTTGTACATTGTCGGTGCTAAAAATTAACATTTAACGTGTCGGTGGAGGGTTTGCCGTGAGAACAAAGTCATACCCTCCGGCCTGCTCACTCCGCCCCGTCAATAGGTTACGTGACTCGACGGACAATGAACAGAACTGGGTTGCTACTGACTTACAGGCACAATTGTTGGAACAATAAAGTTGTACGTACTGTGGTATGCAGTCGGTACAGCGCAGTACACGTCTTGATTCTATAGTTACGTGTGAAATGGTATCATAGCTAGGAAAGGGAAACATTTTTTTATTACGAAATCTCATTGTAAATTAGTTATATTTATGTCAATTATATTTCACCCGTTTTGTGGACATGTTTCTTCAATTAAACTTGTCATGTCACATAATTCATGTAACACCTATCACATCTCTGTGACTAAAGTTATAAGCAAGTTATATTATTACTTTCACTGTCACATTGTGACAGAGTGTTGTTGAGGCGGGGCACGTCCGAGCGCCCGACCACTCTACAAAGTTCACGGTATTTCATTTACATTCCCGCGAGCACGGCGACTTGATTGCCTCACATCAATGAGGGATCGGCAAATTGTCGACTTGATTACATACTTTACAATTATAATAACATTGTCAGCAACGAAAGCTTAGTATTATTCTTCGCATATATATTTCAAGTTCTACGACCTAGAATGCGTCCACCACTAATAACTGACGACAAAAGAGGTTTCTTTCAGCACGTTCCGAACGTCGGCGGTCATCAGATAAGGTTCGCGCCACAACAGAGCGCTCTCAACGACGTCAGTGACCGAGCTTTATTTTGCTACTTTTTGTTGCCTTTTTTTCCTTGCGATTTAGATATTACAGTTACATCAAATTAATGTCGATATAAGTTTGTAAATGTTTTGTATTTTGTAACGAAATGAGATTGTTTTGAGCTAACGCAACGTTTTTGTCTGTAACAATGCCTACTTTAGATGTAAACAATCTTTTATCAGTAAAAGTATTATGGCGTTTCTTTGCTTAGCAAAGGCCTTCTTTACAAAATAATACACAATTTTTGTTTGTGTCCATCAAATCAGAAGGGATGTGTTTCGCGGTTACCCAGGAGATATCAAATGGATATTATGAAATAAAAAAATAATAAAGTACTTTTTCAATGTAGCATCCAAGTTTTTATTTTTTTTTACAAAAGCTTGGTTATTTTTAAAATTACTATTATCTAATGCCTCGTTTTGGTTTTCAGGAGTTTGCAACTCTTACGAAAGAGTTGAACCAGGCTCGAGAGCAGCTGCTGGAGAGAGAGGAGGAGATCTCAGAGCTCAAGGCGGAAAGGAACAATACCAGGGTAAGGATATGCCCCTACCGTTTCAGTAACCCCCTATTGGTAGGGAATGTTGAAGACTGACTTAACGACGAAGATGATACGATGATAAGGAAGTGTATTAAAGGCAATCGTTACCGAGTGTCAGATTTGTAGATCAAGGGAGAAAAGTGTACCAGGCCTCTTCTCTTGACTTCCTCTCTAGGTTACAGTTTAGGTTATTCTGTAACCCCAACGGTCATCGTAGACATCCTACGGCGTAGACCTACAACAAAACAGTGAATAGAAAATTGACCGCATATTACATGAATTGTGAATGCAAAGTCGTAAACTGAATGCCGTACCCACAACCGGCCACAGATGAATTTATAATGACCTAAACATAAAGCCGAACAATCCAAGATTAAAATTACATATCTAGTGAGTGAATATAATAAAAAAAATTAAAGCTTCATACTTAGGATCAAGTGATACAGGAAGATAATAAGAACTACCACGTTTTTTCCTTTGAGCTAATTACATTGTGAGTGTCAAGTGTTTTACCGAAACGGGTAGGAAATTAATGTCCTCGACTGTACACTATAGTAATAGTTTGAATATTTGATATAAAATTTTCTTAAATCACTTGCTTTGATAATAGAAATAGTTAAAGTGTTTCGAGCGTGTGAATGTTTCAGTTGTTTCAAATGTTCTTTGCAATTTAATATAAGTTTGTAGCGCGTCTTAATGCAGTCGTAGTCGACAATCTGGCGTGTTGCATTACGACTGAACATTGTCGTGGCGAGAGTGTTACAAACATTTGCACTGCGGAAACCTCTTAATGTTCACGACGATTTTACTCCAGTATTTATACTGCTCTTATATCTTTGGAACATATTCATTTCAACAGAACCAAAAGTAGGAGCTTTAAGAATGCTTTCTAATTATTATTATGCTAAAAAAACTCAAAACAACTTCAATATATGCGAGATCCCAAGATCTTGAGTTTCGAGGTCCCGCCGTTTCAATATTAAGTGCTCTGCAAAAAACAAACAATTTGGCAAAGCGGGACCACCGTGGCGCGCAATAAAACTTTATTTATAAGGCCTATAGACCTTGCCGTGAACTTTTATTTCACCGACCAAATTTACGGCACATATTTCTACGTAATTTCCAGTTTTCAAAGCAGAATGGCTTGTTATATCACACCGTCGCTTTGAGTATTACAAGTTTCCTTACGATTTGTGAAAAATTACGAGTTTTATATACTTGTAAAGGGTATTACGTTATTGTCTTTACTTCAACTGACTCGGAGCCTACCCTAAGTTAGGGGTGACTAAGCAATAGTCATTCACAGCCCAGTGCAGTTTGACGATCCCGCATATCTTTGAATTTCATCACAGATATGTGCAGGTTGCATTGATGTTTTCCTTCACCGTATATATTATTCGTATAGATTTATTTAAATATTGAATATGTATTTGCAGTTATTACTAGAGCACCTAGAATGTCTTGTGTCGCGACACGAGCGCTCTCTGCGCATGACGGTGGTGAAGAGGCAGGCGGCAGCGCAGTCCGGCGTCTCCTCCGAGGTGGAAGTGCTCAAGGCCCTCAAGAGCCTCTTCGAGCACCACAAGGCCCTCGACGAGAAGGTACGAGACCCTACCGAGTAATCAAATGAGGTCATCTATAATGATAAGTTGTAGTAATTAGATCTATTTGTCATGAACTTAATATAAAAATGTGACAATAGATATAGCCAATTCATAGAACACCAAAAAGTTCTGTCAGTTTCCTATATGGTTCTATAATGAAACAAAGTTTTATCCTGTTTTGGAATAAATTACAAAATATATTTTTGAATTGTTTTTGTTGATTTGGAATGAAATAATGAATTACAGGTTCGAGAAAGACTTCGCGTTGCGTTAGAAAGGAACACGGCGTTAGAAGAAGAGTTAGCCTTAACCAAAGAGGAAGTAAGTAGCTTATTATAACTACATCTTAAGATAAATTTTATGTACCGAATGATGTTTGTTTATTCTAGAATAGAGCATGTCGAACAAAAATATCTCCATTCTTCAAATCTCACGCATTCCAAACAGAGCTTCAAATTAAAAATGTTTTATAATAATTCTTCATTGTTACGACATTACTATCTAAGGAAAAACAACAAGAACATGGTATTACTGAGACCTTCAAAATACCAAACAGCAAATACCGCAGTAAATGCCGCAATGTCACAAATAATAATTCGTATGCCCCTTGTTATCAGTTACAGCAGTATAAGTCATCGAACGCGCAGGAGAGTGAGAAACCAAAAGAGAACGGCAGCGTTGGAGGATCACCGGAGCAGAATGGTGAACAGCAACAGACCAAGGTACATACACCAAACACAAGCCCTATAATTATCCAAACGCGAGTAGACTACTCGTAGATGTTTCAACGGATTGATGTGTTGATAAATGTGCTATGACCTTTAAAAAGACAACAGCTAACTCTTAGATTACAAATAATATTATATAGAGGTCAAACAATTATGGTAACTTTTTTATACATTATTAATTAGACTTTCTTTACAAAGTGAAGTGTCAGAATGATTAGTGAGGGGACATAAACGTCGACATTTTAGTATAGCTAGTGTTGCGCCACTACACCGGCAACCTGTCGGATTTTCTTCCTAACAATATATTATAGATGATTACATTATAGGTCCTAATTAAATTACTGTTAATTTTTTTTTCATAGCAAAAGGATATTTTAAACCAATATTTATTGATTATAATCTTACGGTAAATTCGAACCCGTGACCTTAAGTCGTAGTGGATTCAATTAACCGAGAAGATATCCATGACCTTCTCAGTTCTTTTTTTATTTTAAAATGTTTTGTAATGAATAGATAGATAGGTCTAACCTGAGACTTACTCACACAATACATTCACACTGTACCAAAACAACTGAACATATTGGCGATTTTGTTATGTTTTATATTTAAAATACAGTAACAAAATTTAATAGTTTTTAAATTATTTAGACGCTTTGTGAATGTTTTTTGTGCGATATTTTTTTATAGATTTTTTACATTATCGTTTATAGAAATGTCTTTCTCTAAACAAAAGCGTTAATTAATTATTTGGTTATAATTTAGGGAAAGACATTGTTTGATAAACTCAATGGCGTTATATTCTAAAATAATTAACTATTTCATTATGAAAATAGTTTATTTTGTTCACAAAGTTCTCAAAACTATATTTGGTTTTGCGGTTTTTTGTGTTTTAATTAAAAATAACCGCATCAAAACATTTGTTTAAAATGTTTATAGTACATTGACTCTTATATTGTATGAGAACATTATCAAATTTAAAATCAAACATTTCTTTCAAAATTAAAAACTAATATGTAGTTTTTTTTTTTACTAATAATTTCAAGCATAAAAAAAAAATTAAGTTAGTAATATTACGCCATGGAGTTGTAAGAGAGATTATTTTAAATATCTAGTTGGGCATGTTCACTATATTTTTGTGTGTTTGTTTGTCTCTGTGTGCGCAGGAGCAAAGTAGTGTTAACGGCGAATCGGAAAGCAACAAGAAACTCACTGAGCTTCAAAATACGATCGCCAAGCAGGTCAGACCAGAGTCTACCTTATTTATAACTGATTAAAGCATATATTTAATTGCATAAATAATATCATCTCATAACCATTAAGTATCGTAATAGCAATTGATTGCTATGGCTAATATACAATAACATATTAAAAAAAATATATGTAATTTAAAGTATTGGGTGGTGAAAGAATAATCATATAAAATTATTGCATGACGCGAAATAACAATAAATTAAAAATAAACATTTTTTGTCTATGTTTTATTGTCCAAATGAATAATTTTAGTCTATGGTTGACAAACATTGCATGATTTTTTTTTAATCCATATGTTTTATGTTTACACGGTTGCATAGATTCATGTTCGCCTGATAAAAGAGAATAAATGTAGTTAATAACAATGGATAGTTTAGTTTAGGTGACTGAAAGCATTTCTATGTCATGGAATAGATTTTAAATAGATATGACACATGAAAATTCAAAGTAAAGTATAATTTATGTATAGATTTTAAAATCTTGACGTCTAAAAGAAATTATTGATATAAAAATTGAATTCAAGAATTTTGTAGTAACAAAAACGTAACTAATATAATATTTTGATATGTTTTTATTTTATTTTTATAGCTTGCATGATTAATTCATCTCGATTAAAGTATAGTCACATAATTCATATGTACATTTTCATACATAAACATGCTACATAAATCTTTAAATGAGCAATTCTTGTATATATATAATTGAAATCTCGGAATCAGCTCCAACGATTTTCATAAAATTTTGTATATAGAGGGTTTCGGGGGTGATAAATCGATCTAGCTAAGAATCATTTTTAGAAAATGTCATTTTATTCGTGTTAAACTTAAACATAAACTTAACTTTTTCTATCGGTAAGATCGAAAAATATTATTCATATTTCATCATTTTATTAGTAATTCGTACTTAAATATCATTTCCAAAAAAACACAATAAAAAAAATACCGAGCAAAGCTCGGTCATTCAGGTACTTACCATTAATACATGAAAATAAATGTATGTAAAAATTTGAATTAATCACAAATAATTCACACAAACATCGTAAATAACCTGTTAATGTATAATAAAATCTAACACCCATCTTTAACACGTTCAGTGCCGACTTTAGCGACTTCATGTTTTAAAATCGTGTTGTCATGGAATGTGTTAATATAACTTGAGGTGTAAATGTTGACCACCAGTCTGCAGAGCTGAGCTCGTGGCAACGGCGTGTGGCAGAACTGAACAACAAGGTGACGGAGCTGGAGGAGAGGCTCTCCAAGGGTGAGAAGGAACTCACCAAGAAACAGGAGGAGTGCGCCAAACTGCAGCGAGATCTGAGGGAGAATGTCGCGCAGAAGGAAGACCAGGTATGTTTGGTAATTAACTCAAGTGTTTAAAAAAATAACAAACTTAACTAAGAAAATTGAAATTGGATGTAATTTTATTTTAGGGAAATTAACAAAAAGATTATTATTTGTTATTTAAATTGTAGATTATGGAACTTACTGAAGTGTGAAAAAAGATATCTCAAACATTACGTGTATTTTTTGAATGTATCGTAAGAAAGTTGGTCCTTCGAGCAGGATATTATTAACTTTTGTTTTGTATAACTTGAAGAATCTAAAGTCCGTCGTAACTTCAAGATATTCGTCATTGAGGTAATGATTGTTTCAGGAGGAGAGAATAGCTACTCTCGAGAAGCGGTACCTGAACGCGCAGCGCGAGTCCACTTCGCTGCACGACCTCAATGAGAAGCTGGAGCAGGAGCTGCAGCACAAGCAGGCGCAGCTCAAGGTATACTGGCCAATAACTGGTGCATCAACCTCACATCACATCACATTCACCTTCAACAATATACATCGCCTTAATTCAAATAAAGCGAAGTCATATTTTTCCCAAATTTTAAAATATATATTTTTTTACTTTTATTATAATATATTTGAGTTAAGGCAAAAATAGTTTTAATAACAATTCAATAGCTTTAGCTTTAGTAAATTTTCAGTACCTCGATTGGAGAGCAGTTCATGGTATCACAGATGACAATCATTTAACAGCATTCCACCGCCATGACACATGTAAATAATTCCCAACAGCTTCAAGAAGAGAAGATCGCAGCTATAGAGGAGAAGCTGGAGCTGTCCACGCAGAAGTTGGCGCAGATGTCCTCGCTGCCGGAGATGGAGGAGCAGCTCAAGGCCAGGATGGAGGCTCTCAACCAGGTATATTCATTGACATATTGCTGTTCTATAATCAACTTTAATTTAAAGGTTTTAAGGTTCATTTTCCATGTTTCATTTGCTTTATCGTTTACGGGGTTTGGTTTAAAACATTAACTATACTACATACTTTGTGATGATGTGAATATTGAAATTATCTAAGCTTTAGGCATATTTTAAAGTATTTTTATCAAAATGCAGTAATCTGTGGTCTCTGTCTACCCCTCTGGGATACAAGTATGAGTTATGTTGTTGTATTCTTATTAAAATATGTATAATATGTGAGACTATATTTGTGTTGTTAGTTGCTTTTGTATTGTTTAGTGTAACCATGCAATGAAAATTTTGCTCGTATTTAAGGGAATGACGCCTTCCTTTTCAGTAGAGCTTCAATTTGTCACAAACGTACATGTGTGTAGGAGGGTGGTAGTTGTATGTGTAAGTAAGAGGTGGTTGTTGTGTTGCGGACAGGCGCAGGAGCGGCACGGGTCGGCGGAGGACCGCATCCAGCGGCTGGAGGCGAGCGTGGAGGAGAAGAACGCGGAGCTGATGCGTCTCAACCAGCGTCTGCGCATGAACGAGGAGCACAACACGCGCCTCTCCGCCACCGTCGACAAGCTGCTCTCCGAGTCCAACGAGAGGTCAATACTATCATCTGCTTCATCATTTCATGCTTCAAGAATATTTTCATTGTTTTCTCGTGTTTATTTCATGAAAATAACAAAAAAAAACGTTTATATGAAATCAAGAGTTAATTCAAAGTCACGAATGTCACCGGAAAAGTAGTTAAGTCTAGCTTTAACATTTTGTTTTCTAAATATGTTGTGTGTGCAGGTTACAAGTGCACCTGAAGGAGCGCATGCACGCGCTGGATGAGAAGAACGCCCTGACCCAGGAGCTGGAGAAGACGCGCAAGTACGCGGACGAGCTGGTGGCGGAGAAGCAAGACATCCTTAAAGAGCTCGCCAAGTGGCGCATGGAGACTGAGCAGGTGGGGGGGGAACCACATCTAGAAAACACAGCAATAAAATAATACTGCTTTTAAAGAAGTAGGCACAAAATAGCAAGGTGTATAGTTAGACATTTTTCGTGTTGTAGCTGAAGCGTCAGATGCTGCAGCAGGAGATCGCCTTCAACATCCAGCAGACGGACGCCCTCACGCGCTCGCTGTCGCCCGGAGCGCCGCAGCCACCCGTACCCATCTTCCAGCCCAAAGTGAGCTCTATTACTATACACATAAGGTTACAAATATGACGGCGGAGGTGGGTTGCCGCTTGCAGAGGGGTTCATGGTGCACTTTCCAATCTTCAAATTACAATTATAATAACGTAGGTAACGCGCGGTGGTTCAATGTCCGTTCCAGTCGGCAGCCACAGGAGAAGTGTTCTGCTGCCGTGCCTCGGCTGGTAAGGTGTTGACCCATCGAACGGCGACAGACGGCGCTGGCGTCACTTTCCGTAGTAAACTCGACTGCCGCAGTGGCGCTAGTGTTGCGTTGATTACGACAAATATATCATCACAAACGAGACTTATGTAGACATCTGTTTCAACAAAAGTTTTAAAATGCTTGTTTTCGATACGTCTTCACGCAAACAGTGGTGTGTGTGACTGATGTGGGGGGGATGTGTTGCAGCTGGAGGGGTCGTGGGAGAAGCTGCAGCAGGCGCACGCGCTGGCCGCAGTCGCCGCGCAGCAGTACGACGTCTCCAGCGATGCTGAGGTATATCTTACTAATATTATATAATGCGAATGTTTGGATGGATATTTGTTAGAAGGTATCTGCAGAATGGCTGCATGGATTTCGCTGAAATTTGGATGAAAGATGTGTAACATAGTCTGAAAGAACATATAGGTTACTAATCAAGATTTTTCTTAATCCTGCGGACGAGGTCGCGGGCGACAGCTAGTGTATTATACATACATCAAGCAATTAGCTTGTTCCCCAGCTGTTACTGATGTATTGTGTTGTATCAGAACGACGAGTCAGAGGGCGGAGTGGAGGGAGGGCACACGGACGCAGCGGCGCTGGCGCTGATGCTGCAGGAGCAGCTGGACGCCATCAACACTGAGATCCGCCTTATCCAGGAGGAGAAGCAGACCACGGAAGCACGCGCTGAGGAACTCGAGTCCAGGGTGAGCAGATAAAATATTTTAGAAGAAAAATACCTCCATAATAGATGTACATCTTGTTAAAAATATTATTAACCGTCATTTGAAGTGAATGATTCGATGATGTACAGATAATGACATTAAATATAAGTAATATAAAGGAATTTATGGGTTATGGGTTCTGAAATCAAGGACATTTCTGGTTGGGTTACTTCACTATCATTTTCTCCTTACTATACTAATTTTCATTGGTACAGGGTTATTGATACT